TAAGTATTTAATATCGAGTGATACTTTCTATCTCTTAATCAGTTATATGTTTATAAACTGTCAAAGGTTAAATTTATAAACCACATAGCATGATGGTATTGTAAAAGTAAATTTGTGGGCATGTTGCCTTTGGCAAAACCTTAAATTCTATACACAACATTGATCACAGACTGACAGAAAGGATGTGTTAGTTTTGTTTGCGCACATTTCTACTCTGAATTTTCTGGATTGCAGTTTTAATATTTTTCATAAAACACAACAAAATTGCCTCTTGCTTTTTGATGCTGAATGAAGATAGTTTAGAACAAATGGAATTTGCAAGTGAATGTAACGCGTTATAATATATTTATCCGACACTTTCACGAATGTCATTAGCCCCCTGTTCAATAAATGAATCAGGGTGCTTTGTATGTAAGTCTTAAACATCTGGTGCTGTTTGTATTTACAATTAGTCTTGATATTTTTTGAAAATATTTACTGTCGGACACTGGTCCTTATATCCTATTTATTTATTTTTCATACATAAGCAACTCTGCGGATTCCTATCTTCTTAATTTTTGCATCTTATTCATAATAAATCCAAGCAAATGATATAGGACAATTGTTCAAGTTGACGGCCTTATCATCATTTTCGTCTTTTGGAGCGCCTCGTCTACCCACGTTTCCCACCGGATGTAATTATTGCCTGTTATAGCGGAGTTGGCGTACTTTCCGTTAATGTTGACGTCATAACAGGCGCCGTACCACCACGCACCCTCTGCATCCTGTCCGCAGCTTCCGGTAGACTCATCGTTATCCTGGTCCTTAGTGGAGAATTTCTTTCCATTATGAATTGCCATGGAGTCACCAGGATCCACTGAAAAAAGTAGAATTCAGCGAAGAGTAAGTGATCAAATCTTGGGATGTACAGAATTCTGTGATACGAAGAAAAAATGGTATTCAATCTCAAAGTCCATTTGTGGTGTGAAATCGGAGTTAAGGAGTTTCAATTCTTGAAAGAACTGCGTGCTTAGTATATTTAAATGTCTATATATGGCGTTGTACACTTCTTCTAAAACAATTTTGGATTAAAGAAACATCTAGAATACACGTTTAGTATTTTTAAAAATTAATTTTGTCTCTTGAATCATCCAAGAATTTTTGAGCCGTTACTCGAAAGATTCTAATACAATTCAAGTATTGTGACACCCTTTTGTCAGATACCTGTTTTATACGCTGCTCTTAGTAACAATCAGTTCAAATATGTACACCTGAAGACGGATATGAAATTGGAAACTACATTTTCTTTTATAATTATTTTAACCTGTGTGACATCGACTTTGAACTACTTTGAACTATATATGTGTTTAATTGAACATAATTTCTTTACTTTGTGACTTGGTCTGATTTGAACTTATTTTGTTGTATTTGGTTAATAAAAAATTATGAACATTTAAAACTATATAGATCCTTTATTCTTAGTTAATTGTAAGCCAGAAATATGTTGAAATAATTTTACTTTGTATATCATAATGTGCATTTTACATTAGTTCAAATGTACGCTGTTTACACAGCGTGTGCATCAAAATTTTCATGTATGTTGTGGCTTTTTACCATCATCATCGTTACCATCGACATCATTACCATCGTCATTATTATTTCCACATCATCAATGAAATTAAATAAAGTTTTCATCTGGATGGTTAGCTTTACTATTTATCCAGCGGTACAATTTTCATCAATTGTTATCTTTCAAAAAAAAAAAAAAAAATCAACAAAAAAAACCCCTAAGGATATGCATGTGATATTTTGCCTATGAACATCTTATGACACTATGATCTTACATTAAGGATATCTTGATACATTATCAGTAGATAAGGTACGTTTCGTATGTCCTTAATTGTTCCTTAGGAACTAATATTGGTAGATTTTCATGGATCATCCTTATCCAAAAATCTAAATCCCCACAAAGGAGATTTTTTTCACCGTAAATTTTCATTCAATCTTAATTTTGTATATCCTTGTTAACCCAGATATTATGATTGATTGATTGTATATTGTTTAACGTCCCTCTAAAAAAAATATCACTCATATGGAGACGTCCCCGTATGCCGGTGAAGGGCTTCAAATTTAGACCTATACTCGGCACTCAGGGCCATTGAGCAGTGAGGGTTCTTTATCGTGCCAGCGCCTACTGTGACACGGGACCTACGTTTTTAAGGCCATATCTGAAAGACCAGTGGCTTTCACTTCTGATGCCGAGCGCTTGGCGAGGAAAAGTCACTACTTATTTTTACGTCTTAGGTTTGACGCGGCGCCGCGAACGAGCTCGAGAATCGAACCCGATCACGAAGCGAACGCTCTACCACTAGGCTACCGTGAACGGTACCCAGATAATAAAAAGGAACAAAAAATCCACAAATTTCGATGACCCCATTGTATATTCATCGATCAGTATGTTTCTATTTCGAACATTATCTGCGTGTCAAACACGCCATTAACAATATTGGAAAATTCATTTTTTCCGTTATTTCCCGATCATGACAAGGAGCACACGGCAGGTATGACCGGTCGGCAGGGGTCACTCCTCCAGACATCTGATCCCACCTCTGATGTTTTGGAGGTATAGTTTTGCTCCGCTTTTTGTATTATTTTATGGACCCTTGAGCTTAAATACTGTTTATCTCCATATATTAAATCCAATCTATGTGATGAAAAGGTTTGCTTAATCCTTTCTGCAGCGTATATTTAACATTCAGACAACCGTCATGGAAGTTATGCACTGCAGTTCTAAAATCATATACACAGTTCTCTGTCATTCTGTGTTTGTAGGTGTGTGAGGGTGTGTGGTGAGAGAGAGAGAGAGGGCGTGTGTGAAGGTGTGTGTGAGAAGGTGAGTGAGGGTGAGGGTGTGTGTATGTGAGAGTGAGAGAGAAATTAGAGATCAGAGAGAGAGAGAGAGAGAGAGAGAGAGAGAGAGAGAGAGAGAGAGAGAGAGAGAGAGAGAGAGAGAGAGAGAGAGGTGTCATGTACTATCATGTGTGTATTTCTATAGATATGCCCTGTAAACAAACTTACCATTCCCAGTACTTGAGAAGGAGGACACAGTGAGTAGGTACTTGCTGCTTTCATCCCCAATATAAAATGTAGTGTATCTGGCCTCCGCCGTTTGACCGTTAAAACGTTGAAGATTAACTACAAGGTCTTTGTTCTGGTCCTTTGTTAAGTGATAAAGAACTTCATTTCCTAGGAAAAATAAGTTCAGTACCTAAAATGATGGAAATGAGTATGCATATATTGACATTAAATAAAATTAAATGGATTTTGATATATTTTTAATTTGTACCGTGTGTGTATAATTTTTAAAATCTTGCCCAAAGGGGTAGTGTGAGTCACATAAAAATAGAATTGAAAAACATAAGATATTGAGAAATCTACACAAGAACAACAGAGCACAGATGCATAAGCTAAATTGTTAAAATCTGATCCCCATTTTTCACTCAGCAGAGAGTCAAAGATTTTGATCGGTTTGTTTGTATATGAAACTATATTTTATATTCGCCATAAGACCGTTAACCATAAAGATTGATTGGTTGTATTTTGTTTAACGCAAAGTCGGCAATTTTTCAGCCTGGTTTCGGCGTGGTAGCCAAAAGAGCCGAGCTGTAAGAGGAAATAATCATTATGACCGAGCTGTAAGAGGAGGTAATCATAATAGCCGAGCTGTAAGAGGAGGAAATCATAACAGCCGAGCTGTAAGAGGAGGTAATCATAACAGCCGAGCTGTAAGAGGAGGTAATCATAACAGCCGAGCTGTTAGAAGAGGTAATAATAATAGCCGAGCTATAAGGAGAGATAATCATAATATCCGAGCTGTAAGAGGAGGTAATCATAATAGCCGAGCTGTAAGAGGAGGTAATCATAATAGACGAGCTGTAAGAGGAGGTAATAATAATAGCCGAGCTGTAAAAGAAGGTAATCATAGTAGCCGAGCTGTAAAGGGAGGTTTTCAATCTGTTTCATATTTGGATGTCTATAGAGTAAGTTATAAGATTCTTTATACTTAAACACCATATGTACGTGATAGCAGTTTATTACTTACATATCAAAATAAGGAAAATTGACAATGGATTAGCTAAAGTAATCTTATTTGTCATACAATTTAGTGGTTAGTTGGGTGTTATCGTCTAATGTAAGTTAAGAAAACATCTAAATATGAAAAAGATATACATTTACCGTAATCTGTGTTGTCTTTTACATCAATTTCACTGGAAGACATGTTAATCAATTTGACATATGAATGGAAGTCACTATTGTTAATTGATAAAGCATTGTTAATATATTTAATCGTCTAGTCAAAGGCAACAGCAAATGTTTTCTTCTTCTCGTGTATAGAAGTTTTCGAAAGAATTATGTTTCTCGGGAAGACTAAGAAGTCGGCTATTAAAGAAGCATAATTAGTACCCATCTAATTTCCAACTGTAAAGGAGCCTAATTCAAACAGATTATTGGAAGACTTGGTCTCTGATGACTAAATAAAATACAATGTTGTCAATGAAGAACTCCAGTATCAATTCAATATCAACTTCAGAGTAGTTATGTGTAGAATCAGAGAAATTTAAAACAAAGTAATTTTGTGGATAACCAATCACAAGATAGGAACATTCCAGAGTTCTGATTTTGGGGAAGAAGCTGTTGTCTATAAACTCATATAGCCTAGTTCTTAATTAAATCAACAGCTTAAAAACTTACTTTTCAACCATTACCCAAGATAAATTAAAGTCCAAGCTTTTTGATATCACTGACACCTGCTTTTTCAATAAAATTGAACTCGTAAATTAACCTACCTTGTCATTACCTTGTCATTGCCGTTGTCAATTCAGTGTATAAATAATGGACTAATAATTGGTATGAAAAACTTCAGTCAGCATTTGACTCAATGATAAATTGTATTTGCTGACAAGGTCATTGTATCGACCACAGAACTTACGAAATGATGACTTTAAACGAGACTGCTGATATTCTTGTTTCATCAATTTGCTTGTCAATAATTTACCTCGTTTTAGAAATTGTTCATACGTAGAGCATGCTCTTGCATCAAATGAGAGATATTATACTCTGTATGCAGGTGACGAAGGGATATTGCTGCATAAGTAAGGGAAGTTGACGATAGAAAAGTTAAAGTCGTCAGGTTTATCAAATAACTTGGTTGTTAGATTACCATTAACGTCTTTTTTAAGTAAAATATCCAAGTATGAAACAGACGTGTCAGTCTCTGTGGTATCTTTTATCTCAAGCCCACCAGGATATATCATGTTGACGTAGGAATGGAAATCACCATTGTTAATTGACAATACGCCGTCGATATATCTAAATGCCAAGTTGAAGACCACAGCAAGTGTTTTCTTCTTTTCACGCATAAGATTTTGCACAACTTCTGATTTATATGGATATAAAAATAGGTCCGCTAATAATGGAGCGCAATTGGTACCCATGGGAATTCCAATAGATTGTTGGAGTACCTGGTTTCCAAAAACCACATAGATATTGTCAATAAGAGACTCAAGCATATGTTTTAACAAAATAATTTTACAAATGACCAAAGACCAGGTAAGTTAATTTACGAGTTTCATTTTTATTAAAAAAGCAGCAGTCAATGATATAAAAAAGTCTGGACTTTAATTTATCATGGAGAATGGTTGTATATAAAGTTGAAAAGTCGCAAGTTTTTAAGCTATTGATTTTTGTATAATCTTGTGATTTCAAATTGTCCAAAAGTTCTTTTGAATTTTTGAGTATCCACTTCTTGAATATATTGTTACACAGTACTCCTGAAGTTTTTCCTTCACTACTGTCAATATCTTAGTGAGGAGTAACGAAAGAGGCTTGGCTGAACATTTACTGGAACCCGCAATGTATCTTTGTTTGTAAGGATTTTTATGAAGTTTCCAAACCCAATATATATAGGGTACTTCAAATTCCTTTTGGCTCTGTGGAATATTAAAAGTATTTAAAACTGACATTTACTTTTGAAGAATTTCTTCCTTAGAAAGGGAAGTATGAGTATAAGTAGTATTACCACTTGTAGAATAAAGTCCAAGTTCTTCTAAAATACATTTTATATAATGAGCCTTACAAACAAAGACACTGTTGGAACCTGCTTTATCAGCAGGGACCAGTACGTACTGATCATGTAATCTATCTATTTCTTTTTTCACTTCTGGATTATTCAATACAGAAGGATAGATGGTTTTCATACTGCCCCTCAATCTTTAAATGCGCTACCTTATCATGGATCTAATACATTTAATCCATTCTGACAAGGTTTCAACGTTTTCAGTTTTCATAACTAGCCCATCGTCTGGCGCTATTTTCAACAGAATCCGTAATATTCCTGAAATTCCGATGCCAGTTGAAGGATCGGGGTTCCCTATATTTAAAATATATCAAAATAACTGATGTAAGGTCCTCGTTATTAACTATATTTACGTCACCGGTAATAACGTGACCAGTAGGACTATAGTTATAGGGCGGCGAAGAAGGTATACTCAGCAACGGACTATTTGTGTGGTGATAAATCTTGTTCAATTTATCATTGAGTCCAATGCTACAAATTCTTAGGCCATGTTTTACACACTGAATGGACGACGGATTTTTCCTTTATTTCCCGATCATGATAAGGAGCACACTGTGTTTTGACCGGTAGGCATGAGATGTTCACTCCTCCATGGCATCTGATTCCACCTATGATGTTTTGGAGGTACGTGTTTGCTATGCCCCTGTATGTATTGTTTAACTGTTTGATAGATCTTTGATCTTGAAGACTGTTTGTTGTTCTATTTGTTTCATTTTGCCTATCAAGTGATTTTAACGACCCAGTTTTACCTTTATCTTTACTTATCCAGTGATGTTTAACGTTCCAGTTATCTTTACCTATCCAGTGATGTTTACCGATCCAGTTATCTTTACTTATCCAGTGATGTTTACCGATCCAGTTATCTTTACCTATCCAGTGATGTTTACAGATCCAGTTATATTTACCTATCCAGTGATTTTGAGAAGGATTTCCAAATCCTGCCTTGTACTCTTCCCAAGTTCTAAAAAAATCTGTTGATTGATCCTCTCGCCGCTGTATGACCTACCAAAACATTAGTTAACGAAAATTATTTGAGTAGTTTTTTGTTAGGCGTGTTTTACTAGATAAATGAAAGAAAGGAAATATCTATTCCAGGCTTCAGGTTTCATCCCATTCATTGATATTTAAGCTTTTTATCAGAATAAACATCTTGTAGAATTTGAATTTTCTTCCGCATTTGGATATCAAAAGTGATTGTGCTATATTTATCTATGTCTTTACAGAAATAGATTGATTAACAACTCACTGTCCACCCGCCACCGTTTGTCGTCATATCACAGAAGACTTGTTTCTGGGTCGTACCATCCGGGATAATTGTATACACTCCGTCATTTCCGCTGGCACCGGAATCTGCCCTCAAAACTGCAGAGCAGTCTGCTAATGCTAGTCAATAGTCAAAAGTAATAGCGTTGTGTTGATGGTTAGTCTGTCAGTGTTAATGAACGAATAATAGCGTTATGTTAATGATTACTGTGCCAGTGTTAATGAACGAATGATAGCTTTATGTTAATATGTCTGCCAGTGCTAATGAACGAGATATAGGTTTATGTTAATGATAAGTGTGTGTCAGTGTTAATGAACGAATAATAGAGTTATGTTAATGATTAGTGTGTCAGTGCTAATAAACGAGTTATAGCGTTATGTTAATGATAAGTCTGTCAGTGTTAATGAAGGTGTAATAGTGTTATTTTAAAGATTAATCTGCCAGTGCTAATCAATATGTAATAGCGTTTTGTTAATGATCAGTTTACCAGTGCTAATCAACACGTCATAAATTTATGTTAGTGATTAGTCTGTCAGTGTTAAAAAACGTGTAATAGCGTAATGTTAATGAATAATCTGCCAGTGCTAAACAACGAATAATAGCGTTATGTTAATGATTAATCTGCCAGTGCTAAACAACGAATAATAGCGTTATGTTAATGATGAGTCTTGCAGTGTTAATCAACGTGTCATAGTTTTATATCAATAATCACACACATTTCTGAAACAGTGTACCAGTGCTAGTATAAAATTTAACCGTAGGAAACCTTTCGTGTATCCTTAACATAAAGCTTGTTACGTTCATCCTAAGTAGCACTAGCAGACTGATCTATCATAAGCTACAGTATGACATGCTGACAATCACTGGTAAAATGCTTCAAAGATTTTATGTGATCATTAACATAATAATATGTAATAATAACATTATACTGGTAATAAGTATATCATGATCAATAAGCTGTGCATCATTTGAAAGCATTTTACATTTCATTCCTCAAAGTTGTCATTTTGCCTCAGTGTTAATCAAGGATTGAATGTAAAACGGTATCTCAAATTTTTGATACGTTGTCTTATCTAAAGTTTACATTTATTTGTACTCCAAAGTAACAAATTTATTAGCATAATCTTATATTACCATTTATAACTTCTTAAATCAACAAAATACTAAAAAATATTAGATATACTTAAATGAAGCTTGGTTATTTTTAAGAGAGTGTGGTCCAAAAAAGGGTTGCTGTGTGAGATGTATGGAGATAACAAACATTTTTCAAGCTCAGAAGTCTATTAGTAGAGTCCCTGTAATATGAATACTGATAATATCTGTATGGTCATTCCTCAAGTAGTCAAAGTGATTTATTGTGTGTTTCATGATCAATCTGTCACAAATGAAATCAGAAGCTTCAATAACTAAAAAGTCACATATGGAGTGTTAATTCTCTTTTTCTTTCTTGTTGTTTAGCGTAATCAGTTCATAAAAGGAAAGAATTTGATATTCCTTATAAAGCACTGAAAACCCTTGACTTGGTAAAAGAAAAAATCTCATAATTGTTAAATATTTCCATTTCTAATTTGTTTTTCTCTGTGATAACTCTTTGAAAGTTGTCGGAGTTTATTTTTTGATAATTCTGCCGGAATGTAAATTAGGCAGGTCGATAGGTCAGGAGCTAAGCAGGCCTAATATGCATGCAAATCTCTTGCGCATCTGTCTCTGTTTCTGACGCTTAGGAGGCCAATTATGCATGTAAATCTCGTGCGGTTGCCTATGGGTTTGACGTCAGTGGGCGAGGATCGTTATGCAAATTATTCCATGTTTCCCACTATCGTTGATGCCCTGGCATACTATACTAACTAGACGGTGATTCCTTAAATATCTGGGGAGAAAAGCAATTGGTGTATCCTTAATGATCACAAAATCTCTGAATTCTGTTTATTTTTGTCAGCAGGGTGTTTCAGCTTTAAATTAATGATCACACAAAATTATAAAGTCTACCAGTGCTGGCAGAGTGAACTAGCTTTATGTAAATATTGACGAGAGAGAGAGAGAAAAAGAGAGAGAGAGAGAGAAAGAGAGAGAGAGAGAGAGACCTCTGCATTGGAAGACTACAGGTGACCATTGTCCGTCGGCCTGACAAGTTGTGGAGGGGTCCCCGGAGGAGCCGTAACCCGCGACACAAGATGTATATCGGTATGAAGAACCCACGGGGAATGGACCCGAGGGAGGGGGACCTTGGGCGTTCGGTATGACGGGAGGAGACCCACAGGTAACTTCTGAAATGATAAATCTTATTTTACTGACAGAAATATATACTGGACAAGTATATACTTCAATTAACGTTATATAAGCAATAAAGGATACTTCTAATTACTCGTCCACTCTCATGCTATGTCATGGCTCACTGATCCTTTAAATCTCATAAATTACATTTTCTGTCAGTTTTCTTCATGTACTGACTTTTATACAAGGTCTAAGAACACACTGAGTATACTTCACACACTGACACACTGGCTTGTTATTATCTATCTCTCACTCACTCACACATCCCTTCCTTTAATAATAATAATAATAATAATATATGAATTTATAAAGCGCTAAATATTAATAATTTAACTCTAAAGCGCTGTACAATAAGCAAGTAAACATAATTTAAAAGCTATGAAAACATATATAAAATATTAATCCATACTCATATATGTGCTCGGAATTATAACATTAAAATACTACAAATTACATACAAAATACAATTACACCATCAATAAAACTCAATAAAAGAACATCATATGTGATTTATGATTTGCTGCTTAAAAATTGAGCACCTAAAATTTAAAAAGCTATTCTATAAAAATGCGTCTTTAATTGTCTTTTGAAAATATCCAGGGACTGGGCCTGCTTTATATCATTAGGAAGGTCGTTCCACAAAAATGCTGCTGCCCAACCAAGTCGACGTTCACATATGTCTTCGTCCTGATCTTAGGAACAACTAACCGTGATGTTGACTCAGATCGCAGTGATCATTCCATTATAAGATCTTTGATATACGATGGAGCCAACCCGTGTAAGGATTGGTAGACATATGTCAAGATTTTATATTGTGGACGAAAAGAAACAGGTAGCCAATGAAGATCAGCTAGGATAGGTGTAATATGCTCCCGTTTCGATGATCTTGTAACTAAGCGAGCTGCCGTGTTCTGGACTTTTTGAATCCGGTCTAGTAAGGCCTTTGACACTCCATATAGAAGGCAGTTCCCATAGTCCATCCTGGCAGTGATAACGGCATTCACCATGGTCTTGCAGGCTTCTTTTGTTAGAAAGCGCCGTATTCGTCCAATATTGCTTATTTGAAAATAGCATGACTTGACGACCGAGGATACCTGTTTTTCCATAGTAAGGTGTTGATCAAAAAATGCACCTAGATTTTTTACGCATGGCATGCTTTCAATGATATTATCACCAACTTTTAGTTGTAATGTTGGCAGATACTTCTGGTGTTGCTTTGTGGACTCGGTCTTTTCTTGGTTTAGTTTGAGTAGGTTTGATGTCATCCATGAACACACTAAGACACGCTTCAAGTCGAGAAAAGTAATTGTTCCAATTTTCCAGTGGTCTTATGATCATGTAGATTTGTGTATCATCTGCATAGCAGTGATATATCATTCCATGGCGGTGGCATATGATTCCAATGGGTTTGGAGAAGAGGCAATACAATTTCGGTCCGAGTACAGATCCTTGGGGGACCCCAAAAGGCAGCTGTCTAGACTCTGATCGGACGGATCCAATTGTGACACATTGTTTTCTGTTCTTGAGGTAAGACTTGATCCACTCAAGAGCTCCATCACGGAATCCATAAGACACAGTAAGGCGTTGGAACAATATATTATGGTCAATAACATCAAAAGCAGCGGATAAATCCAGAAGGACAAGGACTGCTGAAGATTGTTGGTCTAGGGCTGTCACAATATCGTTGTGGACCTTGATGAGGGCCGTTTCCGTGGAGTGCCTGGGACGATATGCCGACTGAAGTGGATCGCTTCGCATCCAAATGGGCATCAATCCTACGAGCCACAACTTTCTCCAATATTTTTGAGATAAAACTCAAGTTCGATACGGGCCGATAGTTTTTCAACACTTCCTTATCTATGGCGTTCCTTTGCAAACATACAGAACTTTGACTTTATATCCGCTTACTAACAAAATCGTTTGCTCTTTCACAAACAGGCTCGCTCACTCAAAGACAGACTCGCTCATTCACTGACATGCTCACTCATTCACAGATACACTCACTCATTCAAAGACACGCTCGCTCATTCACAGACACGCTCACGCACTCACACAAACAAGCTCGCTCATTCACTGACATGTTCACTCATTCACTGATACGTTCACTCATTCAAAGAAACGCTCGCTCGTTCAAAGACACGCTTGCTCACTCACAGACAGGCTCGCTTATTCACAAACACTCTAGCTCATTCAGTGACGTGCTCACTCATTCACACATACGCTTATTCATTCAAAGACATGCTCGCTCATTCCTAGACACACTTGCTCACTCACAGAAACACTCGATTACTCAGTGCTTCATTTACTTACGTGTCTCCTCGCCATTTCTCTGCGTTGGCGTTCTTGGAAAGGTAATAAATAAAACTATCCCTGTCAGAAGTACAATATCGTTCACGACCAAGTCAACCACTCCATCTATAAAAAGACATCGTTTGCTCAAAATGTTTTATTTCACATCGGAAACAGACACTCGCGTTTATGCTTGTTAAGGAAAATATTATACCAAATCAAATATACCAAAAATAAATATTGAAGCGAAAGAAAAAAAGTATTTATTTTCAGTGTATACCACTTACTCTGAGATGCTATCAAGGCAATACTTCCTGCCAGGGACGCTAGAGCGAACTGATTGGTGGACGCATCTATCGCCTGTATGTTGTTAAAATCGGATACGAAAATCATCAGAAGACCTGCTAAAATGCGCATTTCGTTTCCTGGTTTCATCATCATACCTAGACATTCAGTGATTGATTTCATGTGCATGCAGTGTAGCAATAAATATTGATAAGATATTAATGAGTGATTTTTTCTTCCCTCAGGAAAAAGAATACCTTTACACAGAAGGAAGATGAATTTTGAAATTTTGTGTTTAAAGGTTGAGGAGCAATATGAAAACCGTATATCCTTCTATCTTAAAAAATTCAGAGGTCGAGAAGAATAAGACAGATTGCACGAATTAAACGTACAGGTCTCAACTATAAAAGAGTAAAGAACATACTCAGTAGTCTTTGTTTGTAAGGTTAATTTTTAGGGGAACTTGGATTTCATTCTAAAAGTGTTAATCTAACTATTACACACAGTTCCCTTTATAAGGAATAAATTCTACCCCCCCCCCAGCCCTTCCCGAAGATACGAACAGATCTAAGCTGACAAAGCAGGTTATATTATAACACTGTTATATTTGTAAGGCTCATTATTACAACTGCATTTTAGAGGAACTTGGATTTTATTCTACAAAGGGAAATCCAACTTAAACTCATAGTTCCCTTTGTTATTAGGAAATTAATCAAAATCACATGTCACTTTTCAATTTTTATTATATTCCCATCAACCAGATTGAATTTAAATCACCTTATCTATTCTGAATAAATGAATAGTCTTTAAAAGATACATAGTGCGTTTTAGACGATGTTCTTCCAAGCCCCTTTCTTTACCCCTCAAATAAAAATTAAAATACTGACAGCATTGAAAGGAGAAAGTTCAGAAGTGCTGTACAACGACGTATTACAGAAGTAGTGTAAATCAGATGTGGATGCAAAGAAAACTCCACGGAACTTTTAGGGAATTTAATATCACAAAATTTTACCAAAATAAATACATGTAGCATCAAACATAGGACTTTCCGACACCATAGACAACTGCTTTTTAGATAAAAATGAAACTTGTAAATTAGCATATCTTTCATCTGCGAACCTAATTTGTTAAAAAATTCTAATTGTTTGTACAAGAACTCCGAGGTTGTTATAAAAACTTTCCTCAAATATCATATTGACAATATCTATGTGTGTTTTCGAAGACTAGGTTTTCGAACAGTGTGTTATAATAATAATGTATTGCCTCATTCCTTCGTTTAGTTGAAAAATCAGATTGAACTCGAAATAAAAGAAACACAACAGAAATGGGAAAGATCTGTTTCATATTTGGATATTTCACTAAGGAAAGCCATTGATGGTAAATTTTTAACTAAAGTTCATGATAAACGTGAGGAATCAACTTTTCTACAGACAACTTCCTTAATTATGTAGTAAAACAATTATCACCTGCAAACCTCTCAAAGTTGATACAATTTGCAAGAACATCTTATAAATGCACTTTCTAAAAAGAGTCAGACTATTGACGAATAAACTGATGATACAGGTATTTGAACAATCTCTCAATGCCAATATTTCACAAAGTCTATGGTCGATACAATAACCTTGTTTGCAAATACAATGTATCGTCAAGTCGAATGCTCACTGATATCTTTTATGCATATTGTCAGACCATTATTTCATACAGATGAAACCGGTCACGGTAGCCTAGTGGTAGAGCGTTTTGTTCGTGATCGGGAGGCCCAGATTCGATTCTCTTTCGCGGCGCCGCGTCATACCTAGGACGTAAACACAGGTAGTAACTGTTCCTTCGCCAAGCGCTCGGTACTAGAAGTGAAAGTCACGGGTCTTTCGGATATGACCTTAAAAATTTAGTTCCCGTGTCATGGTAGGCGTTCGCACGATAAATAAACCTCACTGCTCAATGGCCCTGAGAGCCAAGTATATATCTAAAATTGAAGCCCTTCACCGGCATACGGTGACGTCTCCATATGAGTGAAAATTTCTCGAGAGGGACGTTAAACAATATAAAATCAATCAATCAATCATACAGTTGAAGGATATGGAGATAACGCACAGTATCCAATATCAAAGTCCATATAATAATACAAATGTGCAGCAGAGAAAACACGAACCTCCTGAGGTGGGATCAGGTGCCATGAAAGAGTGAACATCCCCTGCTGACCGATCAACCCCCCCCCCACGTGTGCTCCTTGACATGATCGAGAAATAACGAAAAAATCCGTGATTTTAGTGAATAAATAATGGACTAACAATTAGTATGAAAAACGTCAGTCAGCATTTGACTCAATGATAAATTATTTGTTGACAAGGTGATTATATCGACCAAAGAACTTACGAAATTATGACTTTAAACGAAACTGTTGATATTCTTGTTTGTCAACTTGTTTGTCAAAAATTTACCTCGTTTTAGAAATTGTTCATACGTAGAGCATGCTCTTGCGTATCGAATCATAAATATATTGTATTGTTTGAACAAATATAATTATCAAAAAACGTCAGTCAGCATTTGACTCAATGATAAAATTGATACAAACTGAATTATTTGTTGACACAATGGTGATTATATCTATTTTTGACCAAAGAACTATATATAAGGGGGGAGGGTCATTTTACAAAATGATGACTTTAAACGAAACTGTTGATATTCTTGTTTATATCCCGTCAACTTGTCAAAAATTTACCTCGTTTTAGAAATTGTTCATACGTACATCTCTCAGTCGATTGGATACACAAGAGCATGCTCTAATTATGTACAATTTCTGAAACGAGGTAAATTATTGACGAACAAGTTGATGAAACAAGAATGGCAGCAGTCTCGTTTAAAGTCTTCATTTCTTAAGTTTTATGGTCGATACAAAGACCTTTTCAGCAAATACAATCTATTATGGAATCAAATGCTGACTGATGTTTTCAATACTAATTGTTAGTCCATTATTTATATACTGAATTGAAAACGGGGGATTTTTCAGTTATCCCCTGATCATGACAAGGAGCACACGGTGGATGTGACCGGTCGGCAGGGGATGTTCACTCCTCCATGGCACCAGATCCTATTTCTGATGTTTCCGAGGTCCCTGTTTGCTTTGCTCCTATTTTATATTGTTTTGTTGACTTTAAAGCTTGAATACTTTTGTTATTTCCATATTTGTTTTATCGTATCGACATAAGAATGGAAATAACCATTGTTAATTGACAATACGTCGTCGGTATATCTAAATGTCGAGTTGAAGGCCACAACAGGTTTTTTCACGTATGAAATTTTTAACAAATTCTGCTTCATATGAATGGTCTGCTGCCCATATATTGTATTGTTTGAATGCCCATGTTCGATGGTGGAAAATCATCGTATTGACAACAAAAAAGAGCAATAATTGATTTAAAAAAGATTCAGTGATTAAATTGATAAAATTGATACAAACTGAATAAGCAGAGATGTCAAGTTTTTTTGTTTACATTTGCTCAAGTCCTAGTAAAACACAAAGAAAGAAAAGAAATAAAATGCAAAAAATAAATAAACAAGAAAAATAGGGACAAACATACCTTTATAACTTTTGCTTTTGTCACTTTTGATTGAAACACTGACATGAACTGAAATCCTTCTAAGTTTGTAAAGCTTTGATATGGAGGTCGTTGAAGTACTCCTAGTCAACGGGTCACTCTTACAATATATTATAATCTAGCTGTGATAAATTTACCTCATTCTTGAAGATCAAAGATATTTAGAAAACGTACATGTGACATGATCTAGAGGAGCCCATGTTCATGATGCTCGAAGAGTTATCTTGTGGTAAAATATCTCAATAACTCTATTTCGGTTTTCTTTAATTTTCCTTGTGTGACCTGCGCTTGTTAAATAATGAATTATTTCTATTGATTCATAGTGTACAAAATTATAATAGTTTCAAAATTTTACCGGCCTATTAAGAACTGTTGTGTAGTATGTTCGCTCTAAATTACAGGAACAAATTGATTCAAATAATATTCAAAATGGTAGAGACAGAAATTCTTTAAAATTCCCAGTGGATGTTTACCTAATATTATATTTTTCTTTCAAAAATCAGTTTTTACATGGTTAATATCCTGTAATTCCTTCCAATATTATAGAAACGACTGTTATAGTTGGAACCAAAAAGAACGAGATCCCGAAATGGGAATGCCCGGATCCAAGATGGTAGCACTGATTGCAATGAAATTTCATCCAATACACAAAACATAAAACTTTGTCTCTAATTTTAAAATATAAATAAAAATGAAATGATATGACCGGTCGTCTGGGGATGTTCATTATGCTAATGGCACATGATCCCACCTCTGATGTTTTAGAGGTCCATGTTTGGTCTGCTACTGAGCTTTATTATTTAGATGGTCTTTGAGCGTGAATACTATTTGTTCTCTCCATGTTTCATTTGATTACTTATATGCCTTACCTTGCGCAAAGCCACCTATTTTAGAAATTTCAGTAGCTTCACGTTTTTCGTGTTTTTTTTTCGATTATTATCATTGGTAATTGATAAATATTTATTTTATTTGGTACACATACATTACATCTTTTCCTCAAATTTCTTCTTAATTATGAAATTTATTTCCTAAGTATGGTCTCAGAGACTATATTTACAACCAGAAAAGACAAGAAATAGTTCAAAAATTATTCGGAATTCCATCTGATTACAAAGTTCACACAAAATTACATGCGATTACGAAGGTCACACGAGATTTTAAATAGATATAAATGTCACTCGATATCACACGTGGTTACAAAGGTAAAGACCGTGATTTACTGGTTTACCCATAAGAGTACTATTAATCTGAATGAATGCTATATTTTTATGAGGAATAGTGATTGAATTCATCCAATTTAGCTCACCTGAGCCGAAGGCTCAAGTGAGCTTTTCTGATCACATTTTGTGCGGCGTCCGTCTGTCTAGCTGTCCGTCTGTCTGTCTGTCTGTCTGTAAACTTTTTCACATTTTCGACTTCTTTTCAAGAACCCCTGGGCCAATTTCAACCAAACTTGCCACAAAGTATCCTTGGGTGAAGGGGATTCAAGTTTGTTCAAATGAAGGGCCACGCCCTCATTCAAGGGGAGATAATTGGGAATTTATGAAAATTTAG